CACTCACCATGTCAGACAGCAGTGCTTTGAAGTTCTGGATGGCCTCCTCCCTCTTGTGCTGCTCGCGCTCGCGGTCGATCTCCTTGGTCTGCTCGGAGCGCGCTTTCTGCACCTCGCGCTCGCGCTCCCGCAGACTCGCCTCGATGCGCGCCTGCCGCTCCAGCTCCTTCTCCTTCTCTGAGTCTAAGTTCTAAAATGCAAGAACAAACTTTTCTCAATATTAACTTTCTAATGATAAGTGTAGTGCTGTTTATTAAAGTACTATCAAACTAAAGGCAGCTCAGAACRAAACACTTTAAAGGGATTTGGGATCTTGGGATTATGAAATTTTGTTTCAAGAGCCATGCTGAAGCATTACAGAATTTGGACAAAGAACAAGGCTGTGTCCAGCAACAAACTCTGAATAAGAGGGGACAAGGGTATCACTGTTGGCCCAGTTCTACAYTCTCAACCATTAATTGCCTGGAAGAGAAAAGCAAGAATATTGGATTAAGACAAAAGCAGCAGTGAAGGAACTGGGTATGAACACACATTCCTGATGGAAGCTCAGCTGATTGGGAAAATCATAGCAAAGGAAATGCAGCCCACYCTAGAAGTAATCAATGTGGTGTGTTTAGTTTCTGCAGTTTTACAGCCATTTTTACCACCAGTGATTTCACAGGAATCTTTGAGGCACAGATTCTCCCAGGTACTGAATGTGTGCACACACACAGATCCCACCAACATCCCACAGGGACAGAACTTGTAAGTTCCAAGCTGCCATTCTGGGGTATCCTACAGTAACTCAGGTATGGAATTCTCTCCAGCACAGATCAGTCTGCCCACAGCACACCCGCAGSCACCCTTGCAGTGCTCCCTGCCCACCTTGGCTATTTTCTCGATGTACTGCTTGAACAGGTCCTCCCTCTGTGAGGAGCTGTCCACCGCCTTGTACCGTGGGTCAGTCTCCACTTTGTCCTTCACTTTGCTCCAGCGAGACTGACTGTCCAGGTGGTGGTTTGCCAGCAGCTCAAAGAAGTCCATTTTGATCTGTTATACAGAYAGAAACACAAAGACACCACTTGAGAAAGGCACTTTTGATATCCCACAGTTTGCTCTTATGAAAAAAGGAGTTGACTTACCTTCATCAGAGGCATCACATTAACATGACATACCATTGCAATTTAGAGCAATCACTAAAAGTGAGAATTTAGTCATAACTGCAGCCCAAATTCACTGTTCTTTGGGACAATTTTGCCAAAGCAGATACATTTAGGCAATCTGCTACATCTAAGATGAACTCAATAAAACAATGATTCACCAATACACTTTATTAATTTGACTCCAATTTAAGCTTGGTTTTCAGCTTTTATATTTATCAAATTAACAAGTTACTGATGCTGCATGATAACATTTTGCATATCAGTACTCCAGAAGCCATGCAGCTTGAAATAGGGCTCTAAAGAAATCAGGTATTTATGGATTCATCCTCGAGGTGTACAGTTAACAGAGGTAAATGCTTGGCTCTGCCAACGAAGAGCTCCAACCARTAAGAATTATCCACATATAGTAAATAAGTAAGTTATATTTAGGATGGACATGCATATTTACATAAAAGTTTACAAAAATGTTTYAGTCTACTTTGTCAATTGGAAATGGCATGTTATGTTTGTGTCCATAGCAACAGCCATTTCAAGGGCTGGCAGAGAAATCAATCATAGCAGGTTTTATTTCAGCACAACTAGCAACATGTTTTCATCCAAAGTATCGGAACCAGCAGTTGTAAGGATTACTGTGCCTTTACTAGCTAGCTCCATTTCTGGGGAGGATGCTCTCCTGTTCCTGCTGCACTTTGGTCAGCTCTGTGCCCCAGAGCAGAGGCGAGGGCTGGCTCACCTCGCTGGCTGGGCCAGGAAATGCTGCAGGGCTCTGCAGACAGAGCGAAGGGTTCTGCCTCCACAGCACCCCACACCCTGCCGGGCCACCCACTTCACACGGCTTTAGAGCACACTGCTTAAAAACCCCAAACCCAGGACAAGGATTGGCTGGGACTTGCTACTTATCTCTCTCCATCCTCATCCCTTAGAAAAGGGAAAGCAGGAGGAGCCATTTAGCTGCAGAACGCTGAGATTCCTCAGGAAAGGGAGCAGATGGACAGAGCAGGCTCCAGCTTGCCAGAGACCTGGCACATCCCCATCCTCTAAAACATGTTTAGTTACAGAATGCAGGAACAGAATGAAGATCAGCACCAGCGATCTGCAGCCTTGCCCACCAATACTTTTAGTAGTATTGCTTCACAATATAAACAYATAAACATAAAAGGCTCTATAGGCTTTCTTTACTATACCAAAGGAGACTAAGRCAGTAAAGCAGAGATCAGAGAACAGCCCATTAATGCCAGTGGGATGTTGTGCTACAGCTACAGCTCTACTGCTTTATCTTAAAGGAGCTCAACAAAACGCTAAGCAAACTGTTTATTCATTGTAAAATTAAGAATGTTGTTTCAAAACATCATAAAACATGCATGCAGTTTTGAAATATGAAGCTTTCTAAGCCATGGCATTTGAAATACTTGTTAGAAACCAAACAGTTCCCAGGTGTTACTACAGAAGTCTCTAAGGTAAGGGTATCCCCGAGCTCTTGCACAATCCCCTGTGATGGGTGTATTCCACAGGATGAGGCAGCACACTGGGAGCACCGTGGCACAGCTCCTCACAAAGCCTCACCTGCAGGGAGATGCTCACCCCTCTGYAGATATCCAGCTCTCCTGACACTCCTGCCCAGCGGGGTGGCTGCCAGCAGCAACACTCCCTGATCCCCTCTGCAATTCCCTGCTGTGCAGATGCCAGCAGCACCAGCTGCAGCCTTGCCAGATCCCAGCAGGGCAGGAGACAGGAGGGCACAGCTCATTCCCTCCCCTGGGAAAACCAATGCCACTTCAGCATTGCCTTGGTGCTCCAAAGCAGAGTTTTCACTTCCCTTGGGTGGCCTGTACACAGCACAGGTGCTGCCAGCTCATTTTAGATTTAAAAAAGATGGTGAAAATGTCTCAAAAAATTGAGCCTAAAGCACCTCACCAGGGAGTAACATTTTCAGATCCTGGCTGAGGATGGTGAGTTCTGTGTGTCTGCACACAGGGACTCCCTGGAGCGAGCTGAGCATCACACACAGCTCCAGCACCCACCTGGGGACACGGACACCCACCTGGGGACACGGGCACCTGCACCCACCTGGGGACACGGGCAC